ATTCAATATAAAATTTTAAACATTGAATTAAATTAATATCCTAAATGATATTTAATGAAACTTTAATTGAAGTAACTAATTGTAAACTGATAAATGCTTAATTGAGTATAAATATTTATTTTCTTTTAATTCCATTACATTTTAGTTAAATGAAATATAGAATTCATTATTTGATGCCTAAAAAAATGTTTGGTGAACAAATGAATTCCTTTCATGTTTTTAAATGGAATAATGCATACATTTTTGTTAATATATGAAATTTTTATGTACGAATGATATATACTTGAAGTATTTACAAAATCCATCTGAATAAAAAAAATAGATCATTCAATCTAAAAAATTGTAGGGAGTCCTTTTTTCTTTTAGTTATCACCCTCGAATTATTTGTTGAATTCCAAATAATCTGTTCCTCTGTTCCTCTGTCTTATTTTATTTTAAAAAAATAGTCAGTACCTACTGTTGTTGTGAAAGTAGTTACTTGTAACACTTTATTTAGATTATCTTATGTAAAAAATAAAGAAATTTATTCTTTCCCTGAAATAATGTATAATATCTAATAATAAATAGTCTTAAGTAAATATATTAAATAAACATTGTTTAGTACAAATCAAAGTAATGTTTATTTGCTGTACAATACTGATTTATGTGTAGAAGGTTTTCAATAAAAATGTCTAATATTTTATTTGTTTCGTTTTTAATCGTATTCCTTTTTCTTTTAGTAATATCTTTTAATAACATATTCTTTATTTTTAATTAATTCAAATGAATTAATTACTCATGCTGAATTTCAATACGGTAATTCTTCTTCCTATTAACAAAGATGCCAGTTATCGAATCATTAATTAAAATCTTTCAGTATTTAATAAATACACTACACTTTCAAATTCATGAAGAACTCGCTAAAACAAAAATTAACGTTTATTCCAAAAAATATACCATTAACCAGTTTTAATTGCGTGCGACGAGTATACACGTCATCTTAAAACTTGAAATAATACTAATTCTTTCAACGACAAATTATTTATTTTTTCACATAAACATGTTTTACTTTGATTTTTCATTAAAATATACCCTACGTGCAATGACCTTGCATTTCACGAGTACACACTTCATTTTTTGATTTTATTGCGCGCAGAACGAGATATTTTTCAAACTAAATTCCACAGTTAACAGATTAGAACACTTTCGTTCATTCCATTATCACCCACAGAAGGTTATTTAAAATTATTCAAATGCTACCAAACCGCAACCATAACCATCGTTGAACAATATTCTCCTACCTCAACCACCAGTCTTTCAAGTTGAAGAATCGTAGCTTCTTCCACGAAGAACTCTAGAAACGGTCGTATAACCTGTGACCCAAAACTCATAGAAACATGTCGAGCCCGTTACAATTACCATACACATATATATATATATAAATATGTATATATAAAGTATATATCGTACATATACTTTTATCCAGGAAATCTTGGCATCTCATCAAATTGGCTGACACCAATCCGCTGTTCAAGGGGATTCGTCTTCATCGGTTGAAAAGTCCCGTTGCAGAGGAATTGCATAATGGAGTCTGCGTTCCCTGTTCCCCGAGTCGAGTGGCCGACGGTTACAACCTCGGCTGAACTTCTTGGCAAGAAGTCGCCGGCAACATTGACCAATGACCATCGTCTGTTGACCAGATTCTGGGGCCACGAAGAGTACCGTAAGGATATTCACGTGTAGGTAAAAAAAAAAGGAGGGGGTAGTGTCCGGTCAACGCTCCTACACTCGCCGGTTATTGTATATAAGGCAAGAGGTTCGAACCAGACTCACGGCAGATCACCAGAAGACATGATCGGGAAAATTGTTTTGGTTCTATCAACACTGGCTCTGGCCAAGGCTCAGGTGCCTAGCCTGGGTTTCTGTCCGGACTACGTACCCATGGCGAACTTTGACATGGAGAAGGTATGGATCATGATCGGTACTATTATCGGTGTACGAGTTCAATCGAATTTATTTTAATTGGCTATTAACACCAGGTTTATCGAACGCATTGAATTTTATAAAGATTATTTGGTAAATGTTTTCGTCGATTTTGATTAATATAATTGTACGAATATGTATCTTAATTGTCTATTTCTGAACCTTTAATTTTCAAGATCTAAATGGACGAACATTCATTTTTCTGGGACCAATAGAATAAACTGTGAAATAAATGTCTATAAACCTAGTGTTAATTGGTTACATGGATTTCATGGGTTTATGTTTTTAATCGACTTCATTGTTAACGTAAATTGTAGTTTTACAATATCTTCGTTTACTACATTTATATGTAATAAACGATTTATATATATTTATTTGTTATATATTTTTAAACTACAATTTACGTTAACAATGAAGTCGATTAAGCTCGTATACATACAGCATTATCCAATAAAAACATAAACCCATGAAATCCATGTAACCAATTAACACTAGGTTTATAGACATTTATTTCACAGTTTATTCTATTGGTCCCAGAAAAATGAATGTTCGTCCATTTAGATCTTGAAAATTAAAGGTTTAATTTTACAATATCTTCGTTTATTACATTTATATGTAATAAACGATTTATATATATTTATTTGTTATATATTTTTAAATTAAACTTGAAGCATTGAAATTTTTAAACGCATTAACTGAAATTTTATTAGTCCCAAATATATGACGTGAATTGTAGTTAAATTAAATTGGCGGCAAACAGTAGGAATAGGTTTATAATAAATAATTATGTAGCTGGTAATAATTTTTTGTATTTTTATTTCAGTTTCTGGGTGTCTGGTATGAGGCTGAAAGATACTTCCAACTTACCGAAGTAGTATCACGATGTGTCATGGCGAATTATACCTTAAGCCCTGATGGTAAATTCCGTGTCAGCAATGAAGTTACAAATAGATTGTAAGTATAAATAAAAATTTACAAGTTCATGTTCCTATTTCACGCATTTTCTAATAGTAAATAAAAAACATTTAAATAAAAGAAACATGCAATGAGTTACATTTTTATTTTGCAAATAAGGTTTTAAAAGGATTGATATTTTTGATAAATATAAACAAACAACATAACATAATAATATTACTTAATATTAGCTGTGGAAAGTATAATAAATAAATTAAAATAACACTAAAACTTAACAATTAACAATTATTAATAAAAATAACAAAAACTGGATCTCATAATACAAATACAATCAATTACGTACAAGAAAAAAATAATTTCTGTTTTGAGTGTACTCAATTATTTACGTGTAAAGAAACTAGCTGTTCAGAAAATGAAAAAAATTAATAAATAGATTATAAATACAGCGTGAAGTGACGAAAGAACTACACCAACTATATAGTCTTTTGAATATATTAAAATTTACTCCTTATCTTCTTAATTTTTTTTTATTTATTTAAAACAATGCAATTGTATAATAATAATTTAATAGTTTCATTATAGTATATACTCAATAAATCAGGATTCATAATCAGCATAACTTTCTGTAATGTTCAGTACTGGTATCAAGAGGGTAGTCGAGGGTGAAATCAAGAAAGCTGCTTCCAAAGCCGAGGAAGGAAAGTTGGTCGTGAAATACACAATACCATTGACCCCAGAAACGAAATACTCCGTGCTCGAAACAGACTATGATTCCTATGCAGTTTTATGGAGCTGTTCTGGCATTGGACCATTCCACACTCAGAATGCTTGGGTCATGACAAGAGACAGAATTGCTCCAGGCCCAACCTTGCAGAAGGTAAAGTTTTCATATAAATTTTTACCTACAATTAATATACTACATTCGACATTTTCGTTATTCCGGCAGAATCTTTTAAAAATGTAGAATTACATGAAATACTTCTTTAATTTATTATTGAAATTTGTAAATTTCATTTTTAAGTGTCGGAATTTGTAATAACATGTAATGATGTTATATTATAGTGTTGCTTGTTTAAAATAATATGGTTAGAACTTTAGAACGATTTGATAGGAATTCTAATCATTAAGTAATTTTTTCAAAATAACATACAAATGTTCATTATTCAGGAATTAATTTCAAAAATTTTGAATACCGATTTTCAGTATATTGTTGTACATGAAAATGTTACTATATTACCGAAAATTATAATTATAGTTACAAATATTTATATAAACTAGATATCAAACTAACAGTTTTGTTTCAATATGCAAACAATATTAAAAAGCATCATTCCATTATCTCTTTTCGCTTACCATCTATTAAAATTGTAATAGAAATTACTGCCTTGATTACTTTTATTTCATTTCCTTAATTAATACTTTTTTAAAGTAATCATTTAATGAAGTGTACTATCTCTGATTTTTCCATAGATTTATATTACTATTATTTATGAATCATAAATGTTATAAATATTGCAAAATTGTGACAATAACACGATACGGTATTATACATATAATAGACATTTAAGAATTTCGAAGTATCGCTGAAGTCTTTTTTTGAATCTTAGAACACCTGTATCAATGGAATATACCAATTAATTGAAGTCTACAGTAATTTATATATTTATATTATTCCAGAATAATCGAAAATTACAGATATTTTAAAATTTTACTAATAAATAAAAATAAAAAGAAATTATACTTATAAATTATCCTCAACTTTCATATTTTAATTTATAAATCTAATTTGAGTAATTAAAACTTTTTACTACTACATTCTTTGCTATTCTAAACTATAATTCTTTCTTAAACAGGCCTACTCAGTTCTGGACAAGTATAAGATCTCCAGGACGTTCTTCGTTAAGACAGATCAAGATGACTGTGCTTATTTAGACACAAAACCGACGAAACCAGAAGAAGCAGAACCCCCAAAAGAAGAAGCAACGCCTCAAAAAGAAGAAGCTCCTCAAAAAAATCCAGAAAATGTTAGATCTGCGGTCGTACCGGATGCTCCAGCACTGATAAAAGAATTGGGAGTTTTTAAAGCGGACAAAGAAGAAGTGCCGATTATTCCTGGTGTTGAAAATCTGAAAAATGTCAACACAGTTCCCGAACATATTTTAGTTGTCGCTGATTCCTTGAAGGAAGACATGCTTATGGATAGTACAAAAACAGCAGAAGAGAAAAAACCAAGCGATCCTGTAAACGAGGTGACCCCGGAGATCGCGAAGGAAGCGAAAGAGACTGCCTAAAAAAAGTATTACCAATCGTGTTTCGACTCAACCCATTGATGAAAACTCGTGTAGATCGTATTACGATTAGTTTAGTAGCCTCGGGCTCGCAGCGGTTTTTCTCGTTGAAACCAGTCTCGCCCGAGAACCACGATCATTATTCATCATTCCTTCGCAAATTATCATTTTCATGAATCAATGGAGGGATTGGGGCTTGTTTGTTTTTTAATCATGTACAAATGTGAAAAAAAAAGAAAAGTTAAATAAATTGTTACATAAAACGTTTACATGATGGTCTTGTGAATTTCCTGTTCCTGTATTTATATAACTATTGTTATCTTTGCATTCAAGTATTTAAGGAGGGAGCGCAAATGTACTGAAAAATGTTACAGTATTTAAATGATAAACATTTATTACAGTATATTATATGTATACTAAGACTCTATTAAATTATTATTATAACATGTTATTAATACACTAAAGTTTAATATAGGATAAATAATTAATTATAATCAGTTAGGAAATTTATTCTGATTTATGAAAATTGGTATCGAAGTAAATAATAGTACAATTTCAAAGTATCAAGTGGAAAATAAAAGTGAAAACAGATACTATTGAAATAATTATCAATTTGGGATAATGAATATTTCTAATGCGTGTATCTAGAAATTTTTGGAAGATTATAATGATATTTCACATCTTTGTACGCAAATATATTATAGGCATGACAAAGCTATTAGAAAACATATAGTCGTAATCAATGACGATGCGAAATATTATATGTGCAACAAGTTATATCACATTACATCAATCAAGAGTAATTATTAATTGCGTACGGAACGATTAACTTTAATTAAATAGGTTGTTTTATTCCTCGTTAAGATAGTATACGTAATATGTTAATTTAATATCAATTTATACTTAATATTAATTTATAAAATAATAATAACTAACACAAATTCAATGTTTTAAAAATCGGCAAATGACCACAATTATAATAAAACAGAAGAAAATGTTGAAACAGACAATTGTCAAAAATTAATTTTTAACTAAAAAATTAGTAGGACAAGAAAAGATCCAATGAGGATTAAATTCACAACTTATCAAGAAATGCGAATTTTTGTATCTCCATCTATAAATGTTAATAAAATTATTAAAATTAGGAATATGATTACCTTGCATCATAAAACGATACGTAATTACCAATAAAAGGATATTATAATTTCCGGTCATCTTGATTTTTACAAGGATTTCCTCATTGCTGTTATATTACAGGTGGTAGGCTACAGGCTACTCTGCCATCAACTGGCGAAAAAGACTCAAACGAATAAGGAATGAAAAAATAACCAAAACTTCTGAATAACGGGATTCACAGCCAAAAACAATCATTCTTATAACTCTCACTCACCATTTGATTTCACACAGTAAACTATAAAATTCGATATTTAATATTATACTCAGTATAACTCATAAATTTGAGAAGTATTAAAATAAAATAGCTTTGTTCCTCAAACGTATGATTTCTCTTTGAGTTAATTCCACAAAATATCGTCTCTATCCCATCGTCAAATATTAAAATATTTCTAGTGAAAAACTACTGAGTGCAAAGGGTTAAACCTTTATCTTATAATATAGAATTATACTCATTCTAGAGATCAATAAATATCATATTGTTCATTTCTTTTATATCGAAATACGATGCCATTTCTTTATTCTTAACATTATACCTAAACCAAATCTAAATTTACAACAAACACGGATTTCCTTTTCCTTCTACCAAATTAGTAAGGACAGATTAGCTGTAATCAATGCAGTTGCAAAGGAAACGACAAAATAAAGAGTTAACTTCGTTTAACTTAACAAATACATAAATAAAATTATTTACTTCCATTTCTTGTAGCGATTATCAATTAGTCTTGTAGCGATTATACAATAAAATAAAAAAGATTTCTAAGGCTTCGTTTAACTTCTATAACACCAACATATAAATTAATAAATCAGTTTATTTTTAATTCAAATAATTTTCACGACTAAAATAGAAACAAGTGTACATTGATTTTGATAATTTTAGTGTTGTTCGTTTAAGAGACGCTAAAGGACTGGTCCACAGACAATTAGCCGGCAGTAAATCTGAATCGAAGACCCGGGTTTTTTGAACTTGAAATGTACCGTTAGTGACCCACTAACTGACAGAAATTTTTCGAACGCATCCAGTCAGCCTTCAAGAGTTCGTCCGCGTAAGTGGAAGGTGTACGGAACGGGAAGACCAGTCGCCAGCAGACGGTCACCGCGTGAGAAGTGTAACAGTCAACCCTGGACCAGTTTCGAGTCGTCGACTTTCTGTGTGTACAACGATTATCAATTCGGTACGTGATCCATTATCAATTCCATTCAATTTGCAATTCATTTTTGTAGTCGTCTCTTGGTACGGTCGGAGTTCATAGAGCCATTTGAAACTCTGAATACGTGATACTCAAGATTATAGCCGACTTATGAATAACTAATGTGCCAAGTGTAACGTCTGCAAAGGTATTCGTATTCTTATAAGATGTAAGGAGGAAACATTGTCTGAAAAGTGTGACAATGTACTGACTGTATTCAGTCGCAAGAATATTTTTCTTTTCTCTTTAATAGCGGGAGTACCGATGATTAATAAATGTATTTTTCTATCGAGATCATAACGAGAATATGTTCCTGAAGATGTATAAATTAATAAAGCGAATATTATAATCGTTTACATTAATTGAAATTAATTTTTCAGTAAAATTTGATTTAATAGAGACTAATTGTTTTGAAATGATTTTAGTTGAATAGTTTAGCTGTCAAATGCGCAGTTACTGAAATTAAATTTATTTAATTTTTTAGTAGTGATATGTAAATGTTTAAATATTAGTCTATTCTGCAAACTAATTTATGATACGTATAAGTTAGTTTATTTAATTAGTTTAAATAATAATACAGTTATTCTGTTCAGCTTAAGAAGATTCAAATTTTCTTTCCATAATAAAAATATTTCCTTTTGATTTTCCTAATGGTTGTTCAAAATGATTATTAATTTTTGTTAAAATTTTCTTATATTGTTACATAAGAAAATAAGAATGTTACTAAAATATTATATATTTTCTAAAAATCTACTTCGACGATACAATTCTATATTAATAAAATAGTATTTTATTGATATTTTATTATAGTCCTTTATATTTACTGTAAATATGATTTTCCTTTATAATGAAATATTCGTTAATAATGGCGTTCTAATAAAATCTATTTCAAACCAGAAGTGTATTTATGTTTTTTATATAATGCATGATGCACACAAATGACTAGGATATTATAAAATTAATACTATTGGAAATAATATTCACTATTACCATTATAAATTTGTTGTACCAACATTCACAAATAACGGTGAGTATGCAATGCTGTGATAACTGCATCGCAACTATAGCTTTGGAGACCGAAAGGTAACTGTTCTTTTGAAAGGCGTTTTAATACAAAACTGTGGTCGTATTTTTTACACAGACAGTTGAAAACATTCACAGAAATTATTTATGACTAGTTATTACATAGCTGTCACTGTTATTTTAAGTAACAAATTCCTATTTGTTGAAGTAGAATTCATTTTAAGTCATAAGTTAAATACAGATCGTTTGTGATTGAAATAATTTAGTAAAAAGAGAAAAAGAATAATTATTTAAATTATATACCAAAAAGGACGATATATTTTTAAAAGTATTGTTTTAATTTTAATTTCTTACTTATTATGATAATTCATTGAAGAAATGGGTTTTACAAACACATTGAAGATAATGACCTTATTACTCACAAATTAAATTAGTATTTAATTCAAATAACTTTATCAAGTAACTTTAATATAATTTTTAGTCACTCCAAAACATTTAATACAAGTTTTTGTTATTTCATTAAATTGAAGCAACCCATTGTATACATTATTGAAAATAAAGTACACGCATAGAAAGTTTATATAGTTTTTGCCAATCAAACTAGAACGTAGGTACATTTAAAATCTTCTTATGTTAATAATTTACTATCCATTTCATAATTAATGTTAATTAACAAAAAAAAATTAAAAATGCAAAAGGCAATATAATAACAATTTTACAACTAAACTAAGAAATTTACAAACTTTCCACATAAAGTGTTACCAACATTTGTATAAACATTCAATAAACTAATACTTCTGTGAATATACATCTCATATTATTAATTTATAAAATAAAATATCTGAAACAGATTTGTAATAACTAATTCTAGCTTATCTGTTTCTAGAATAAAATGTTACGGGCCTGTCTAATTCTAATCGTTGTGATGGGAGCAGCGGCGCAGGTGCCATTTTTAGGCACTTGTCCTAATTTGGAAACCATGCCGAACTTCGACATAAATAAGGTGTGTATAATAAACATACAGTTTAACGAGCAGCTAAAATTAATTGAGAGGAGTTAGCTCAGAATAGATTTCTTTCGTTCACCTGTGTTATTGACTTACTTATGAGGGTACGCAACCTGCACTTAGAAAGTTGCCCTCAATGGGACACTGATATACATCCGACATAATGAGACATACACGGGGCATTTCCAAAGACATTTATTCCAACTTTCTTGGAGGCGTGCTGAATTCTTTCCAATCTTTCCGTCGCATCATTTTGATAAACGTGTACGGATTAACTTGTTTTCTAGTATACAGGGAAATGGTATGAAGTGGAGAGGTACTTCGCTCTTTTCGAATTCGGTGGGAAGTGCGTGACCGCAAACTACAGCCAAGGTGAAAACGGATCGATAAAAATCTTGAATAAACAGATATCTGCCCTGTAAGTAGAATTCGTTCATGCTTTCTACACGCAATTGTTTCTGTGAAATCCTCAACTTCATATGTTTTATTCATTTTTTAACGTAAATATCTGTGATTGATTATTTTTAAACGATGACGAATATACTCAACGAACACAGAGTAGGTACATGTGTTCAACAAATTAACATAAATTATAACAAAATAATAAATTTTTCATTTTTAAGAAAATGTATATTCTCATTCTTTAAAGATTCATTAATATTATTTATAGAATTTATGATGTGATTAATTTATAAACAAACAAATAATCGGTATTTCGAATTAAACATATTTTTATATTAAATAATTAAATATTTGGCGAAGAGAAATTAAAGATTGAAAATTTAATTTGTTTTCATAGAACAAAATGATACTCTGATCGGTGTAAATTACCGACTGAAGCAGTTAAATATATCATTTGTTTTGTTTATTAACGTAATTCTTGCGTTTTGTTTATTAATATTTATCAAACCATAGTTTTATTTAACCACTTAGGGTTTCTTACAATTTTTTCCATATATTTAATCTTAATGTCTTATTTTACTTTTATATTAATGACTATAAATAAAATCATTCTAATGCTAATTATTCCTTTATTTTGTTTAATATTGCTTAGTACAAGTAGATTGATACCGATACAAATACAAGTCAATCTAATCGAAATGTAATTCCGATCAATTTATATTCATCACAATAGTTTTAATTGAAAAATCAGGTGATTAGACTTTGAAAATGAATTAAATAGAAATTCTATCAATCTCTTTGCAATAATAAACAAAGGGTTTTTAAAATGATGCATCGTGGATTTAGAGTAAAATTCTTGAAACTATGATGTGAAAGCAACCTTATTAAATCCATTTTATTAAACATTTATATTGAATATGAAAATCATTCTAATGGTAATACATATTTTACATTTGTAATAGGACCGGAGTTTCTTCGAGCATCGAGGGAATTGGAAGGTTAATCGGTAGGATGGAAGATCCTAAATTAATTGTCACGTTCCCGTCTTTGCCTCTACCTTTAGATGCACCTTACTGGATTCTTGACACTGACTATAAAACTTATGCAGTAGTATGGAGTTGCTCCAACTTCGGTGTATTCAGGTAAATCTATAATACAATGAAGAAATGTAAAATTCTATTATAACATTATACATACTCCATCTATTTTATTATATATACTCTTCTTCAATACAGACAGAAATTTCATATTTTTTATAATCATATACACATAAATAGACTACATATTTTATAAACATTTAACATACGAAAATATTTACACAAAATGTATTTAAATGCAAAACTTGTAACTATTAATAGTTTCACTCTCTTCTAATTGTAATAATATTAAAACATACAAATTATTATTTCATTATTTCAAATATCGTAGTATTAATAGCAAACATCGTAAAAGTGTGGCACTATTTAATCATATTGTTATAATACGTAAATAATATCGAGTGACTAATTTAAAAAATGTTTTAATTGCGTAACAAATAATACATGCTTAACTCATCGATAATAACTATCATAATGTTACATTTCAGTGTACGAAATGCTTGGATCCTGACGAGAGAACCCAAACCGCCAGTTTCTGTTTTGGAAAAAGCTTATCAAGTAATAGATAAAAATAGTATAAGTAGGGCATACTTCATTCGCACTGATCAGAAAAATTGTCCAGAAGGAAATTAAAGTATAAAATATTGTAAAATATTGCAGTGTGTGTGGCAAAAATATTCTTGTCTTTCGTTGTTGTGATGTCAGCAAAGATTTATGGGATAGGACTTTTTTAAAACTTCATAGATTGTAAAGATTGCTCAAGCAGATTCACAATCTCTCACTACTAATGGTGTTTCGTAATTTATATTAAATAATATTTATTGCTTGTATACTTTCAATAATATTAAGTAATTTATGATTTGTTTTATCATACATCGATAAAATCGACTGTAGCGATAGATGAAAAGGCTTACACGTCTTATTTATTTTATCGTAAAGCTTCCAGTAGTTAATTTCTTTTGCATAAAGTATTTAACGTTAAGTGATACATTTACATCAGTCTATAAATTCATTTTATTAGAGGCTTTGCGAAACTTCAATAACATAATTTTACATGTAGAAATATAAATGAAGCTGTACTTAACTGCATGCTTCACATATAGTGATTTTAGATATTTAATATACATTGCGTTAAATTATTTTGTTATATTTATAATATTTATTTATTTATTGTACTATATAATGCTCTGGAAAACTACAAAATGTATGTTAATAAATCAAATTATTAAAATTTTACTGATACGTCTATACTTTAATTTTTAAATAATAAAGTGAATTTTAAATGTTATGATCAAAAATGGACGTTTGAAATAAACCAAAATACAAAACTTCAAATTTAGTTCAAAGATGTATTTATACATTTCTTAGTATAAAATGAAATATTATTTAAGTACCTACTTCTAACCAAGTGAACATATACACCTATACGATCTGTGTATTCTCTGTACACGTATTAATATATATCAATCATAATTAATATATGTGAAGAATAAATATAAACAGACTAGAAACAAAACAAAGGATAAACATATATTTCAATATGAATATACACTGTACTTAATCCTAAAAACCTGTCAAATTCGATTGGGTTAAAATATTATATACAACTCCCTTTCAGATAGAAACAATATTTGCTAATACGATTTTTGACGAGCCGATAGTTAAGATCTAAAATTTTGCAAAAGAATATTTTATCATTTTAGTATCTCTCAGTTGTTTTCATGTATAAATTGTACTTAAACATAGCAAATACACATCGATCATCACTTTCATTTGGTTGCAACAATTACTTTTTCCTAGAGGTATTAGACTCTGCCATATAGAAAAGATTATTACTCAAACAAAAAGAAAAATATGCTTTTGTTTATTTATTATTATTTAAATGTTTTTAATCCGTTACCAGTAAATATTAATAACAATTAGCATTATCTATCAGAATTTTTAAGCTCTTCGAATTATATTGTATAAGAGATAAAATTTACAATGAAACTGTGACAATGTTTCTGAGGAAATATTGTCTTAATAGAATCAGGTTTGGACTTATTATCAGTTCAGTAAGCAAATGTTCTATATTTATTAATAATATTTTCATTATGTTACTTCGAAATTGTAAGAATGCCATCTTTCAACGAAAAGAAATGTCAGACCTTACACATAAATGTAAATGACTGCTTAATAGTTAACAATCAACAATTCTACCATAAGATCCGATATACCGCATGCAAGCATGTGTGTTTTTAATTTGCAAAGAAAACTTTACATTTGTCGATTTTGCCAACTTCAATCATTGGTTCGAATGTAATTCTTAAATTTGTCACTTTTAATCATAGAGGACATATCGTAATGTTTGCTTTTTCTACACAATCGGTATTTCACTTTATCGAACACGAGGGCCCATAAGAAATCCAGTTTATTCCGTATCTCGTCGATAATAAAAGTACCAATTTTCATCAATGATAAAGGTAAAAAGAATACTTTATCGACTTTCTTGGACGAAGTCAACTACCTTACCGATCTCAGCAAAAATAGAGTTCTCCTTTCATGATTGTCAATACAGACTTAAACTACAATATGTATGTATAAGGATTGCCAGTTAGTTGAAAAAATAAAAATAATATTAATCCGTTGCTCTATGATTTATTTCGTAACAATGATCGATACAACAATTTCATCAGTAATAATTTATTAGGAAAAGAACAAATTTTTATGCTTACTTTACTTCTACGTTTACTCCAAAGGTTAACGATTGACTATAGATAATATTTAATAATAATATTTAATAATAGTAAGATTTAATTTATATTTTAAAGAAAGTAAATAACATTTAGATTTTCCAAATTCAGTTTAAAATTTTCGCCATGAATCTGACACGATATTATAGGTCAAGGCGATAAAAGAGAAACGTAAAGAATGTAGTGATTAAAAAATATTCTTTAACTATATTTGTAGGTCAATGTAAATATATTTTATATACGAGTTACGTAAATTTGTCTTACGGTTAGAGACTTTAACGATTTAAAAAGTAGTTCCATGTCTTATATAGTTTCTAGTTTCAATTGCGGTTGCTCAATTTGCGACCACACAAAGTTGTCTCAATATTAAATAAGAAAAGCTGCAGTTTTCGAAGCTATATACAATTATTACATAGACGCACTATTATCTCCTAGTGGATATTGTTAGAATATTGTTAGATTCAAATCAGAATTATTTTACGCTCTTGTATAAGATTTCTCATTAAATCATGGAATTATTGTATCTGTAAACTATACTTTAATTATATAATTACTTAAATACTTCATTATATAAGTAACTATTATATAAGTAAGTTAATCCTGTTTTATTTGAAAGTAACGTTTCAAGAAAAAGTATTTTAAAGTATTGGTTAATCAACTGAACCTATTATATTAATGTTTAATGATACAAAAATTGACATTAGAATATACAATTTAAACTCTCCAATTATGAAGGAAGAAAATTTCAATTTTTCTACGTCAAGAAATTATTTTGTTTTAATATTTACATTGAACTGATCCAACAAAGAGAAACTCTGATGTGTACCGTTAGATGTCGAGCTAATAGTTGGAAATCCCTAGTGCATTAAAACAGAAACCTGTAGGTCGATAAAAATACACAAAACAGTTTGCATCAGTTTTTGAGTATTTAATTTTAAAATCACTTGCATATTATGGTCTCAAAATTTCATAGTGATCTAAAATAATTAAATAAGAAAAATTGTACACTACTTTAAGTGTAATCTAAACTTATCTTTTACATTTTTTACACGCTTTATTACTATTTTTCAGAATTACCGATTACTGATTTTTTCATTCTGTGATTATTAAAAAGATAACAGATGTTTGTTTGAGAAATTATTAAAGAAATTGATTTAGTAATACGCAAACTGAATTGTAAATGAATTAAAGTTTCAACATTCTTGGAGTTTCTATAGAGAAATTTTAAAAAGTCAATTTAACTGCTCGGTAGTTTTACTGTTAATAAAGATAAACACACCTTTCACAATATTAAAGTAAAAAGATTTATTATTTCTTTTGTGGTTTCAAAAAAAAATATTTTAGTTTTGAATTGTTATGAATTATTTAATAAAAATGAAATTGCTATAGAAGTACATATTATATTATGCAAAATATAATTTTTTTCACGTATTTATTAATAACTACAATTGAAAGCATGAGGCTAGTCTTATACAGAAGATTCTAATATTGCATAATGAGTATAACGCTCTATAACAATATAGTACTTATTATATTATTATAATAAATATATATAATAAGTAAAATATGTACGTATAATAAAATTTATTATATAACCGTCGCTTATATTATATTTCAAGGCGGACATTGACATGAAATAAAAATAATTCTTCCTTTAGCAAAGATATTGTTTCTCATAAAGAGTGTTGAAAATGAATTCAAGCAGGTGAATCGTTTAATACAAAAAATTAGTCTCTTTAAAATTGAAATATTAAATAAGAACAAAAAATTATAAAATCTCCATAGAGTCGGTAAAAGTATTTTACGTCATGGGAAAGGCCAATATTATAAAAAAGAAACTCAACAAATAACCGTTGTGCAGAATTTTAGTGTCATCACCATATCGCATCATGAATGAAGATCGATACATTACACTAAATGTAAGTACAATACGAACGGACATATGAATGGCAACATTTGTCACGGCAATGGAACAAGCCCATAAAAATACGCAGTGATTTTCACACGAGACCGCGCCGGAAGACCACGTTAAACGCAAGCTTGGGTAAATAACTTTCGCCTCGCGCTGCCATTTTCTCCCACGTTAAAAATGCAGGAAATGGGCACGGGCGCGATAAATCGAGCGTGAATTAACGAAAACACCGCGACACAATACTGTTAAATTAAACAAATGACGCGGTAAGGGTGCGACCGTGTCCCTAATGCGGCCAGTCACGTGTCATCTCTGCAAACAGACACGATTCAATTGCCGGACCTGCAGGATATGTCATCAGCGGTGCATTGTGGGTCGCGGAGAGTAGAAGGATCCCACGAGTCGTCCCATGAAAACGGAACCACGCGAAAAAAAGGGGGCGTATAAATATCTCCTGCCACGGACACGCCGCCTAACCGCGCTTAATTGATACATTTTTCTCGCTGAACGCACCCTTTCGAGCGAATGGTGTGGTCTCGAACTAACGACGTCTTTTGAGCATCAATCTGAAGACATCGAGATGAGAAACTATCGGTCATTCAGTGAAAAAGGCGTAAAATATGCCTCTTTGCCAGCACATTAGTTGGTTGTAAGACACCAGGAATTCTTTTGCTTTTTATGAATAGACGTTTCTGTAATCGGCACGATCACCAACGATAAATTAAAATACGGCAGAGTCTAAATCAGGATCTAGATAGGTAGGCAAAGGCCCCCGCCGGGAACAGAACAACCTCCGTCCTGAAATTTATTCGGCTATCCTTTTCGTCTGGAACTACACTTACGCGCGAAATGTAGGGAGGGAACCGCGGCAGCAGAGCATGGAAGGGAGAACCGAACACTCGGGTCGGCGAGACTGGAGGGGAGGATGGGGGATGCGCGATCGTCTCTCAAGGCCCAAATATCCGCATGGGCCATTCGGTTTTCGAGCAGCACCGGCCCCTAATAATAGGGTACACCGAGGATAAACAAACATACACGCCCCTGGCATCTCTCGTTGAAAGAACACACGAGAGGAAACGCGAAAAAAAAGAAACAATTTAGCAACGCCACTTAAAGGATGCAGGGTACGGTATGATAGATACTGAAAGGTGGAAGGGTAAACCTGTCAAAATACCCGTCGTTAGTCAGATTTAGAATAAAGCTTGGAACGTGAAAGA